ACCCTTGCGCTTGCCAAGGAAGCGCTTATTCCACTGAGCCATCTCCCCAGCTCCTCTTTTTATTAAAAAAAAAACAAAAACACAAAAAAAAACCCCTCTTCTAAGCTCTGCTTCAAAGACTGTGGTCCTTGATTGGTGAGTGAGGTGTGAAGAGCACATCTGCACAGATCTTTCTGTGCCTTCAGACCCAGCAGGAGTTCAGTTCCCAGAGCAGTGGGAAATCTGGATGGAGGGGGTACTGCCTTCCCTGTGGAAGGAAGACTGTGGGCCAGGGTGAAAGGGGAGCTGGAGGCCTTCAAGCTGAGGGACTTTACTCTGTGGGCGAGGTGGAGGCTCAGGCAAGTTGTGTGGCTTGTCCAGGCTCACACAGCCCCAGGCTCATCCAGATCATGTTTTGTCCACCTTACCTCGCTCTGTGGACAGGGAGGCAGGTAGGCAGGCAGGCAGGAAGAAAGCAGAGTTTCCTAAAGTCTGCTCTGCCAATTTGCCATTGAATGTATTAGGCGATATCCACTGTTCTGGTGACAGCTTTGCTCTCTTGAGGAGGATCTCATCTGTACCGTGGCACACGCGAGGGCTCAGCAGCTGATGCTTCTCTCTCTTTGTCCTTCTCTCAGAGCAGAAGTGCATGAGGCTGGAGACACACCAGCTTTTGTGGTTCCTCCCACGTTTAGGGGTGGGGATCAAGCCGTATATGCAGGATCTTGGCAGAAATAGCTGTTTGATCATGGCTTGGGGTTTTAAAACTTGGCATTACTGCCCTGGCCTCTGAAGATAGCAGTTTGCAGACCCTGCTTGGTATTTTCAGTCCCCTCACTCACTGCTCTCTAGTCACTGGCTTCACATTAACATTAGTTCAGTTCTAGGTTTTACAAGCGCTTAAGAAGCTAATTGCTAAAGAGTGGCATTGATACTTTGTCTTCTGGTGTATTTTTTGCTCAGAACAGAGAGACATAGTTCAAAACCAGAGGCTAACAGGACTGCTTCTGCCTGTCACTTGTATTTTTAGTCTTTCCATCCATACCTAGCTGGTAAGCCACTCTAGGAATTATTCTAAGTTCTGAAAAGACTAAAAAGAACGCTGTGTGCAAGGTAGGGTGTGGAGACCTGGGCAGCCCCTCTCCATGCTGAGCCCAGCCAGGTGGTGGTGCTGTGCAGTGTGGGGGTCTGTGCCACTGCAGTGTGGTGGTGGCTTGCTCTCCTCATAGCACACTGCTCTGTAGCACAGACAGAGCCTAGGACCCAGTGTTCCAAGTGGGCTGGGGCCTCCAGCTGACCTGTGGTAGTGAAGCCCAGTCCTTGTGGGAGGAGCCCTCACCAGAGCCCGGCACCAGGAGATACAGTTCAGGACCAGAGGCAAACAGGCCTGCCTCTGCCAGTCACTTGGTGGGAAATTGGAGACACAGGTTCTGGGCCTCCAAACACTTGCGTGCTTTCAGGGAAGCCTGAGAGTATCTGGGGGCTGGATGAAAGTCAGAGAATCAGTGGCAACTCCCTGTCCCTTTCTGCTGCTTGTTACTAGACAGAGACACGTAGGTTTCTGGCAAAGGGTGAAACATTTCTTTGTAGGAAAGAGGTTGCTGTGAAGACACAAAGGGCAAGGTGATCCTTTAAAAATTCTAAACATGGTAACGCATGTAAATAATGCAGTAGAAGATGTGGGGTGTACAGCTGAAAAAGCTTGTGGGAAGTAGGACAGAAAGACAGGGCAAAGGTGAATAGGAGAGAAAAGGGTGAAGAGAGTGGAGCAGTAAGCCCTGTAGGCAGCTCTTGGGAACTGTGTCCACAGTTACTAGCATCACCTGCCAGCTGTGGAGACTGAAGCCATGCCAGGCGCCTGGTTGGTGTGGAGGCGCGTGGCTCACTCAAACCCAGATCTCTCCACATACTGTGTGTCAGTGGAGCTGGATGTCAGGTGTGACCAAGGAAGGACCAAGTGGTCTCCCGGTGGGGGGAGGGGGAGAGGAGGGGGATGGGGATGGGGATGGGGATTATCTTGGCCAGTGAGTGCATTGTGGTTAGGCCATGGGGCCTGGGATGTGGGAGGCCAGGTGGTGTGGCAAAGCCAGCGTGCTGTGTTCCCTTTCCGCTGATTCGAAGTCAGCAGTTGCCAAGGATGGGAAGCATGGAGTGGATAGAGAATCACTGAGGATGTTAGGGGATGGGAAACAATAGGAGTTTTTCAGGGAATGAGTAAGAATCTGCAGAAATACAAGGGCCCAGGCTCCATCTTCACCAGCTCCAGTCTTTAAACTGTGTGAGGCAGAGTGGCGCATCACAGGAGCTCAGTGCAGCTTGGAGAGGAGCAGACCATGGAGTCTAGCAGGACAGAGGGTTTCAGCGGCTACACTAGGGCAACTTTCACTCCTCCTCTGGTCAAGATCAAGTCACAGAAGTCAGAGTCATTTTTGAAGGGATAAGTCCAAAATTGAAAATGAAAGACATACAAAATCTGGAAATGACCCCAACATTTAAGTGGCCAAGGTTCTGGATCAGAAGAATGTGTGACACATGTGCTTACCCAGGTGGGTCTCAGGGGTGCTGCTGGCCTCTTAGATGAGAGGAAGAGAGGGGTGCACAGTCATCTGCTGCCCTAAGGGTAACAGTGCAGGAACTCAAGATCATTGTCCTGGTCTTGACCCCAGAACCCCCAGAGGGTGGGCTTTGTTCTCCTGTACCCCGCCTACCAGGTGGAGGGACAGAAACCACTGTCCACTTGGGGAAGTACTTTGTGATAGGCCAGTGCGTGGCTGGCCAGGACTCTGAAAGCTGCTCTCTGAGTACCGCTCTCTGACTCTGCCAGCTGCTCACCTGAACACACTGGACTCTATGGGGCCAGCCATGGTGGTGGGGCAGACCTGGAGTGTTCCCACCTGAATTTTAGAGTACTGTGGTTTGCAGAGCATTTTCCGGGTACTGGAAAGGAGCAACCTTTATCACAGGTGAAGCAAGGCTGCGTTCAGTCACAGAGTGTCATTACTGTCCCCAGCCCAGCCTCAGTCCTGTGGAGTTATTATAAAGTACAGGTACTGGTGCTGGGGAGATAGCTCAGTTGAATAAATGCTTCCCTGGCAAGTGCAGGGGCCTGAGCTCAATCCCTGGCTCCGCAAAAAATAAATAAAATAAAAAAATACAGGTGCTGCATTTGTTTTTATTTTTTAAAATTCTTTATTTTATTTTATTTTATTTTTGTACTGGGGCTCAAACTCAGGACCCTGCACTTGCCAGGCAAGTGCTTGTGCCACTGAACTATATCCCCAGCTGATCTTCATTTCTTAAGATGTTATTGGCTCTCAAGAGCTGTGTATGTGTTATATTATTGAAGTAACATTAAAAAATTCTCTAGTAGGTCACATCTGGGAAGGTGACTAAAATTTCTCATTAACTAAATTACAACTTTAGAATACCTGCCAGGACACCATAGGGTACAGCAGCAGCTTCTGACATCCCTTTAAATTACTATGGTAACCCTGGGGCTTATGATTGTTTTAAAAATGCAAGTGGGGTGATGCAAGCAGTTAATGAAAGGAGGGGAAAAAACCTGGTTATATAACTTGCTTTTACACATAGAGTAAAAGATAAGCAGTTTCCTTTGTTCCTCATATGAGAAGATACATACTTACACATTTAAATAATAGATTGTATATAACATAAAGGTATTTGCTCTCGGATATAAATACATATCTATCTGTATATGTAGTTTCCAAGTCAGAGCATTGAAAATCTGTAGTCACTGGGTTGTAATGGTGATTCTGAGTGGTCCATTCAGAGTCTAGGAAGTAACTTGCTTAGAACTCCCTGGAGGTCCTGTCCCCTGTCCTCCCTGGAGGCAGCTCTGGGGTCACAGGCACAGCTACTCAGGCTTGCTGTGTAGAGTGGTGTGCAGCAGTCAGCTGACCCGGTGTCAGGTTCAGGGTCTGGGGAGGTGGAATATAACTGCCGTCCTCATCGCCTGGAACATTATGGTAAGCAGACCCTCTCTGAGGAACTGTGGGTCCTCCAGTGTGTAGGACTAGCACCTGCCGCAGCGGCTTCTAAGAGTATTTTAGAGGAAAACGCAGCACTAGTCTAGCCCATTTTCCTGTCTTCCTGTTAATAAGCTGTGGCATGATGTGGATAGAATATAACTGTGGATGTTCACAATTAATTGTTTTTATTGTAGTCCATATCTTGCTGCTCGAAGTGTGCAACTGAGGGGTTTCTTATTCAGGAATCTGTAGGACTGTGCTGAGTCATTTTGAGTTGAGTAAATGGGGTAAAGTTCTATTTTTAGTCTTTCACATGGCCTGCTAAGAGGACTAGGCACTCCATCCTGTGTGTCTGTTGGATTATACCCACTGAAAGAGACTTAAACCCAACTTAAATAGAACTGTGCCCACTGAATAAATACAAAGTTCTAAGAAATACATACACCTTTTGTATCTGTTGTAAAATTTTCTTTTTGTAAGAAGTCAAGACTGAAAAGTTTTTAAAGTCTGCACAGTGAGAGACTCTTTACATTTGCCTGTTTTCAGCATTAATTTGTCTTTAAAAGCTGGACTCTTTATTTTTATCCTCCCAATTCCGGGTTCCTCCAAGCACTCTTTCTAATTTTTCTGCAGCTCTTTAGAGGCTTATACCTTGTTCCTGACTGACCTTTAAGGAAAGCAAAGCTTTCACATTTGCCCTCAGCACTGACTTCTTTTCTGTGTAACTCTTTTTGTTGCTGTCATGATGGTTCATTTTAAAAAAAAAATCAACTGTTCTTTAGATTATGAACTCCTGAAAGAGGACGATGAGTTGTTTAGTGATTTTTCTTTGCATTGAATTTGTACAGACCATGCTCAGGTAGGTACTCAATAACATTTTCGTTGTGGACAGGTTTTAAACTCTAGTATTTAAGTTTGACATGTTTCTTCTGAAAGACAGAAGATTGGTAAACATCTGTATTAACACTCATGTATGAATGCCTTCATTTCTCTACCTGGTGGTGACCTAACAGTCTTTCTGTTGTCATGCAGAGCTCTGGAATCGAGACCTTAGTGGAGGAGCTCTGCTGCAGACTGAAAGACCTGCAGAGTGAGCAAGGTGAGTGTCACTTCACTCATGAGTAGAGGCAGGGGAGGAGTGCAGCCCCTGCCGTAGACTGAAAAAAATTTAGAACGACTCAGAAGTCTTTACTCAGTATGTCCTGAGGCCTGTGACCTGCTCCATCTTTAGCTCTGCAAGAGCCACTCAGGGAGATCATGCTCCCAGAAGGGAAGAGGGACTTTGTTTCTGGGCACCCTGAGAGGCAAGAGAGGGGCATGGGAGGAAAGTTGTTCTTGTGGTTTTGTCTTGGTCTTCAACTTGAGCCACAGTGCTCAGGAGCATATTTTCCCTGTCCTCATCTTTGTCTTCCTATTGTATCTTCCTGCTGATAACTGCCTCCAACAGTGGAGACACTGATTACTAATCTTTCAGGTTTGGAAAGAATTTCTGCTCTGGCTTGAATTTTTTTGAATAGGCAGACTTATTAAGTCATTTTGATATGTGAACCCTGATAACTTCTTTTTTGGATGGTTCTGCAAGACCCAGGAAAGTGACTAAATTTGAAGGACCAGGCTCCTTACTTGCCTTCATTGTGATCAATTTTTTTTTTCCCTCCGAATGCCTTCAGGGCAGGTTTGGCTGGCTTGAGTTGTGGGGATCGAACTACAGCAACCTGAGCCTGACTGCTTTATGGAAGCAGCCACTTAAAGAACTGAGCTAAGGGGCTGGCCCCATTTTGTTTTTTCTTGATTTTTTTTTTTTTTTTTTGGAAGCCTCCTATTAAGGGCATTATTTGTTTGTAACTGTGGGCTATGACAAAAGTATACAGTGTAGTTCTTTATATTTGAATTGAAATGAACCTTTGTCATCTGTGTGTTAAGTAGCAGTTAACTATAATGAATTTTCTTTACAGATGATTATTAGTCAAACTGAGTCAATAGAAAGTCATAATTTTGTGTGAAAATATCTCTGGGATCTAAACAGCCTTTCCTTGCTGGTCTGATGCATAAGTGCCAGGCATGTGGGTGTGAGTAAGCCCCCAGAGCATAGTCCTGGCCACTGGAGAGCAGATGTTTACTGAAAGGACAAACGGGTCCAGCATTTTCTTTCTTTCTTTTTTTTTTTTTCCATAATTTTATTGAGAAACAAATAGCAATGAGACAGTTTCAAACCAAATTGGTAGGCAGCGTTTTCTTTTTAAGCTATAAAATCTTGTTTAGTTTCTGATTAAAATTACTTGACTTTTTTTTTTTTTTTTTTTTTTTTTGAGGTACCTGAGATTGAACTCAGGATGTTGTACTTGGCAGGCAGGCAACTTGCTGTACTGAGCTATCCACCCGTCCCGAGAAACTTTTTTTAAAATGAGGCTCTCTTAACTAGATGTGACAAATCTTTCTGAATTTTTGTTTCATAACAGAAGAGAAGATTCACAAAAAGTTGGAGGAGTCCCCCTCTCCAGAGGCAGAATTGTCCCCCACAGCAAAGGATCAAGTGGAGATGTATGTAAGATCGGAGTCAGTGTAATGTGTACATTTGTTAAGATCAGACCAAAAACTGCTACATGGTTTCTGTTTTATCATCTACTCATTTCTTTCTTCACAATGTAAAAAATATTTATTGAACACTTACACATGCTTGACGTTGAGAATCCAAAGTTGAATAAAATGATTTTCTTCTTACCATACATATTCAAGAAATAACTGTTGAAAGGGCAGTCCAGATAGCTCAGCAGACTAAAGCACCTGCTTAGGCAGAGCGCAGAGGCTGGAGTTCAGTCCCTGGCGTACTGTACAGGCCCCACTCCCGGCATGCACTGAGATGGAGATTGAGACTGGGCGTGGTGGTTTAGGCCTATAATCCTAGCACTTAGGCTGAAAACAAGAGGATCACTGTGAGTCCAGTCTCTGTAGTGAGACCATGTAGACCCTGTACTACATTTATTTATTTATTTTTTATGCTTCTGAAACCCCTTCCAGTGTGTTCCTCTTTATTCATTTTCAGAGTACAAACTTAAACTTGGATAAGCTGAATTAACCCAACCTACCTCTGGCAGGTACACTCAACATGCTGTATAAAGCATAACATTCAATTTTATTATTTCTTTCTCAAGAGTTTTCTTCAGTCCGTTAAGACCCAGCTCCCCTTACATGGGCTTTGATGGAGGTCGTGGGGCAGCCAGCACCAGCAGGTCTAAATCGGGGTGGAGGAGTTCGGTCCTTATGGGCTTCACGAGATCGATTTCTGACCACTTTGCTGTGAATGGCACAACTCACACAATAATGCAGCTTCACATACAGCTTGGGAAGCACATAACCGTCGAAGACACTCG